TAAATTATGTATAGTCCTTATATAATTATTACTATTTAATTTATAACAGAGCAGTATGGTATTATTATTTTATACTTAACAAAATTATTCCCTTAAAGTTGTATACATTAGCACATATTAGGTATCTCGAAATATGTATAACAGTAAATTTATATTGTTGTATTTTTTATTTGTATTTAAGTCGGTATATTATTTATGAGGACTTAAACCTTAGAACTTTGATTATTTCGACTGCTGTTAAATTAATGGTTATAATTCAGTTTAAGTTATTATTAAAATATAAACGATATCACCTACCTAAAAATATATACTCATGATAATTTACATTTCTTATACATACTTATTCAAAATATTAAACCTTTATTGAATATAATCATGGTAAACTTAACCGATATTACCCAAATAAAATAATTTTATATTAGCCATTATATTTGATTAAATAATGCAGATGTAATAGGAATGTATTTTGTAGAAATATTTTTTTTTAAATTTACAGAGTACATTGGAAATTTTACTTATTTTTTAAGTATTGGATATTCATTCTAAACAAGTGCACTTTTAAAAATTGTTTTCTCCAATTTTGATGATAATGATAATAATGTATGATATTATGGTCACGTATTAAAGAGTCAACTACGATGTCACAATAGTAATAATAATAAAAAGAAGAAGAAGAACTTACAGTACTACGTGACTATATTTATATTATAATATAAACGTCACCCCTCGTCGCGCTTTATAATACTGGACCACGTAACGTTTTAACGGCCACCCCCGCGAGAAGCGCAACACGTCACTTGTAGGCCGCAGCGTACCGTCTTCGTGTGTATATATTATGCTCGCATATATTGTTATTTATAATATACAGTGTGCTTGTGATATGTACTCCACCCTCGTCGTTGGGTGACCTTTGTTGTGATGTATATGAATATAAGTACGTAAATAACTTGTATGTGTGTGTGCGTGTGTGTGCGTGTGCGTGTGTGCGTGTATCCGATTCGTATTTTAATATTAAAACCGACGGACCGGTGGTGGGGTGTATATACTGCTTAGGGATCCCGAAGGGGAAGGGGGTACGCTCGCTCGAAGTGTGGTGGCGCAGTGGTTGGCGGGTGGGCGGGTGGGCATCGGCAGAGAGTCGGTGTGCGTGTTCGCTTGGGGTGGCTGGAGGTGTTTCCCCAAGACGCCGGCGGCGGCCCACCACGACTGCCGCCGTCCCGTCGCGCGTATTGATTTTACGGTCATCCGCCTCCGCTTGCGTTTCCTACCCGACTTCACCCACCCACCAGCCCTCGATTGCATATTTACGCATGGGCCGGCGGTGGTGTCCGTGGAAATAATACGCCCGTTCCGTTTACCCACCACCACCACCAACGCCCGAAACGTTTATATTCGTACCCGCCAGCGGCCTTGACGATGGTGGTGGTTGTTGTGGCAGTGGTGCCGACGGCCGGTGGTGGTGACATTTGATTCGCGCGCAAGGACTCGGCGACATCGCGACAGGCGACTACCGTGAACCGGTCTGCCGGATATCATTAAGCAGTCACCGCCCTCCACCCATCTGCCACGACCATCCACCCGCTGCCGACAACAAAACAACCCCTTTTCCGAAGATACTCTACGGCTGTACCACTGTGCAACTCCATGCCACGGTCAATGAAGTCAGGGGTTTAGTTGTCAGAAACATTTATTATGTTAGGATACATTATAGTTATCTATATTCGGAAATAGAAAGTCAACGGATTTCGATACTAATTAATTTTGCAAGCAAGTATACAATGTTTGGCAAAACACTTATCTTCGGATTCTACCCTACAAATTATTTAGATTGAATCGAAAAATATTACTTTAAGCCAGTGGTGCTCAACAAAGGGTTCACTAAAAGTTTGTATAATTGTTGGTACGTAATGCAAAATACGTAAAGAAGTATAAAAACAGGGATAAAAACAAGGACTACTATATTGTATACTACTATAGCATTCGTTTTGCAAGAATTTAACAAAACACATTCACATGACGATATTATATCTTGAAAATCTTAATGGTATAGTCTTAACGAAATAATTTTATTTTCAACAACTCATTATACTAGACGTTACTTCGTGTTACAACTTATGTTGAAAATTAAAATACTAACACAATAATGTTTTGATTTAGAGCTGAACCATTATACGAGTTCTAATCAAATTTAATTGTAGAAGAGTACAGCATCGCGTATTTTCATAGATTAGCTCCTTTAATTGGCTAAATAACAATTCTATTATACGAAGTGATGATTCCATTTTATGGCATTTTAAATTTAAACTACAATTCTGTGGCACACACCATAATTTTTTTAACTATGAGAATAACAAATATATAATACCCAACCACTATATTACATGTTATTAAACATTAGCCACTACCAACCCCCCAAAATTACCAATTTATTCTATAACTATTAAGAATGAATTATACTGTTGAACTTTTTTTTAATAATTTGAAAAAAATAAAACATTAAGGCTTAGCTGTATAATTTAGTTATTTTTATACATATAAGCTTTAAATTATCAACAATTTCTATGAATAATAATATGAATACTCATATATAGGTTACTGATCCTCCTTACTGAACTAAAACCAGCTTAAACAAACTTTTACCACAATAATGTATACTTTTTATAAATTTTGTTTGGTTTTGTTAAAACAAATAAACAAGCAGTATTTGTTGAAAATATCCAATGGTTTCTTAAATGCATGTGTGTATACATATAGACTAAGTTTGATCTACAAAAAGTAATAATGTAATGCATAATAAAATAAGAATTATTATATAAGCATAAAAAAAAATATTATAAAATATTAAAAACAATTAAATAATTATTTTTAATTTTTAATTTATATATTTAAAGCTCCAAAGAGTCTTAAGAGAACTGCTACTTGCCATTTTGCTTTGTCTAGTATATGATTCATCAAACGAAACATCAAAGAAATTACATTTTACAGTTTATAGAGAATATTACAATTCACTTATTATTTATGATACCTTTATATGAGTTCAATGTAATAAATAATTGCTATTGTTCTCTTATTGTATTAAAAAACACTAGTAAAAATATAATTGTATAAGTATAAAAAATATTGTAATACAGATTTAGTTATACTTTATTAGGTGGCCATAACCATAAAACGCTGTCTATTTCTGATACAGTATAATCATGACGTAAATACTGAACGAGCAAATCCAAAAGGGTTTTGATGTTAAATTTGACAAGACATTTAATTATAATACTGAGTAGGTACAATTTCACATATTAAACGAAACAAATTAAAACATGTATATACATATGTAGAATATATATATATTTATGTATATTCTAGTTAACTTAAACCTATAAATAATTTATTAATAATAAAAAAACTCTTAAATGTTGCATTATTTTCAATAATAGATATTATAATCGACTACTATTTTAGCTGTAATAATAGACTTATTGGGTTTTTAATTTTAACAAAAGTCACTAGAATAAAGAATATTATTGCGTTTCAAAATCAAGGACCAAAGTGGCAAAGAAATATAAATAATTACTTGTACAGTTAAAGTAGTTTAGACATGAAAAACACGCACTTTCCATTGCATTGGGCTTGGAGTCGGTAAATAATGGTCTTAGAAGAACAAAATAAATGGGTCACATAATATCAAATGGAAACAACTGTAAAAATTTGATGAAAACAATGTATTTTTGTTATTATTTTATTTTTACCAGACCATTCGAACAATTTCACGTTTGTCATATATTTTCATAGCTTATGGTTCGGGCAAAACATTAATATACGAGTACCTGCGTAAACTGCTACAACGCATGTTATTTTCAGATTAAAATGATTGCAGTGTGTTAGTGTATTATACGGCGAGATGAGAAAAAACGAATGTCCATATAAAATATTTATATACATAGATGGGACTTGAGTTAGAGCTGTGATCGTATGTTAGGGTTAATAATGCTATTGTGGGCGTGTACAGTAGTATCTGTGTGGGTGGGGAATATGTAGTGGTATAAAAAGGGTATTGGGAATTTACGAATACGTCACTCGATATACGGTCGAAAGTGGGGTACCACCAAAGTCAATTAATAATTTAACGGAGATACCTTTTCGTAACTCACCGTGATTGTAACATCCATCAAGAAGTTTTTGTTTTTACTTTTTTATCCTTAAATGTGTTAAAATTATACATAACGACCAACGACCGTAATGTTTGACCCAAGAAATGTGTTATTCGATAAAGGAAAAAAATAAAATAAAAAAAGAGAACGATGACAGCCACCGGTTAACGACGAATATCTTTTTTTAAAGATACGCAACAGGAAGAATAAAAATAAAGCTTTTCTTTTAACAAGTGGCATCCCCTCCGTAACTATCATTCGATTGCGGTATGTATAAACCACTATCTTAAATGGAAGGGGCAATATACTTATAAATGTACACAGAAGGGTAGTGGATAATAAATATTTATTCCAAATAGGTTTATCGGCACTCTGTAAACATTACTTCTTCTCTCATGCACAGTCCACGGATGATTGCCAACTGTCAGGCGATGTGAAAATAAAATCGTATCAGTCTTTATAGCTGCAAAGATTACGTCAATAACGTACATTTTTATAACAACAGCTAATACAACGGGCGTATTTCTATCGATACCAATGTTGTACGTTTATTATTCTAAGAAACTCAGATGAAATCTTATTTAAAGTTCAAACAGAATTTGAATCCACAAAATATTGACTTTAAATTTTAATATATACCATATCGGCCAAATATTATATTCAAAATGAAAACTGATTGGGATGGTAAAATGCGTTTAAATATTATCATAACCATTTTTATTTTAACTAATAATTATTATTAGAAATTATATTTTACTTATTGATAATTAGTAGTAGGTAATTATGTTAGAAAAATAATAAATTTCGACTAACGAGTTACAAATTTTAGGTGGATAAACTGATTTAACATCCTACCTGTAAATTTGGCCATTATTTATTATTGTGACCATATACTTATAGTTGTACACTAGCAGCTTAGTAGTTTCATGTGATTTGTTATATCAATTTCTTTCTAAGCTTTGTAACTTTGATGTCATGCATTTAAACTCGTTGTAAATGTTTCTCGGATCCTAGAACACGAATTAAATATACCTATTATAATGTTATACTATGTATGATTTCGGAAAATAAGTGTACGTCTTTACACTCAGTAATTTGTAATATATTATAGTTAATTGACTTATTAGCATAATTGAAGGCAATAATATTATCTAGGTCCCCTACCGCCTAACATTCTTTGGATATTTTAATCGTCAAGTAAATTATGGATGCGCATTTTAAAATCCTTATGAATGTTATTTAACGCTACTAAACTTATATTTTAAGTCACTTACATAATGTATTCTGGGAGAAAAACAATAATATACTGATGTAATTTTACGGTATTCAAATGAAATTTTAATTAGGTATAAGTATTTATTTATTTATTTATTTATTTTTTTTTTTATTGATTTTGAGCCCGGCAACTGTGGCCATTAGCTATTAGTAGGTATTGTATGTTTGTATTGATGGTTTGTAGGTTTTTTTTTGGTACGGTAGGGGGGAACAAGTGTGTGTTTGTTTTTGGCAGAATTTCGAATGAGGCACCCGTAGGTTTCTGCCATGCCCCGGGGGTGGGGGATGGCAGCACTTTTTCTCCAGTCACCGCGACTTGTCCGGAGAAAAATGCCGCCCGGTGGCCGAGGAATATAAGTATTTATTATTTGTATGTATATACCTGAGTGCCAATAATAAAATAAAGCATACCACAGTATACATGTAATTTCAATTCTTGATGTTATAATAAAATAAAAATAGAATACCAATATCAAAAATATAACATAAATCTAAATAAACAAATTGTTAAATCTCATTTCGTAATAAGAAATAAATTAGTATACTGTAACAGCACAATGCCATAACTATGTTCATTGGGTATAATAATATTATCAATACATATATTGATGGTGAAATAATAAACAACCGAATAATATTTTTACTCAAGTATAAATTAGTGGAAAATTCAAGAATTAAATATACATTTTATTTAGTGAACAACAATACGATTCAATAGTATGGTATAACTTTAATTATACTTTTTCTAAGCAACTTTATTTTTAAACTTAATAATTGTATTGATTCTTATACTATTAACAAGTTACATTTCAACCTTATTTGTACACATAAAAGAAAAATAATACTATTCGGATTCTTTGAATTGTCTGCATTCATTATAGACATGTTTGATGATTACATTATAATTTTTTATTTTTTCCCAACCACCTAGAAATATATAAAAATGTGGCCATATTACTAGTAAATGATCAACGTAATAGACAAGAGTGACACACGATGAGGAACGTCAAATCGTAATCTTGTTTTGAAATACGTAAAAATAAAAACATATTATCTTTAGGGGGGAACAACATGAAAAAAGTACCTGTAAAAAAACAAAATGACAATACTACAGTAGGTACGTCAACAAAACTTCAATATAAGCGTAAATCACTATAATATATACCACACTCATCCCCACATTTGGGTTATTTGACACAACAAACGTGTTCACACGCAGTCATCTTTAATCCAGCGTAATATAAATCTACTTATAATAACAAATCCTGCTGGCTGAAAACTTCTTCAGTAAATGTATACCTATATATTATAAATGAGTGTGTGATTGAGGAATGCTTTAACCTTAAGTACCATAACCACATGAAAACACGACCACCTCAATTATTTCGAAAATTCATTATTCAGATAAAAAAAAATTCAGGGTTAGCCATAGTGTTTTTAAAAATGAAATAATTATTATTTACTTATTTACATTTAAAACTTATATTTATTGTGTAGCACCACTGTGATAAATAATAAACAAATAGTTTATTTTTAAGTCAATGATATATTTTCAGAAATTAATTTTCAATAGTTGTGATATAAATCATACAATATTCGTCATAAAATTAATAACATAAATGGAGATATTATATTTTATTAAAAGGTACGTCCTGTTCAACTTGTATTTACAATTTTTTTCCCTTTTTGAGAGGAAAGTGAATTTGATCAAATGCTTAAAATCCTCAAAAAATATATTTTACATAAGAATTGTTTATACATGATATTATTTCAAAAATAAATAAATAAATAAATGTATAACTGATGTGTTACCTACTAATAGTATTACAAATTAAAATGATGCTGATACAAAATATGATGCAATATAGGTACTTAGTTTTATACGCTGTTAGACAGTATTGGGACAAAATCGTTTTTCGTAAGCAATGATTTATCATTGAATTAAAATTATTTAACACATCCATGACAGTGACCTACTCAATGACGAGGTACACTCGACTGCAACTGTACAGTAGAGTCGTTATCCACTTACGCACTTTTTTTATTTATGCACATATACGTTCAAATTAGTTAAAAGCTTTCGCTATAAAATATCATCATAATACCTAATATAAAATAGGTGTTTTTTTTTATTTTAAATTAATTAAAAATGAAGGAAAGTCCATACTTGTGAAAACTTTTATAGTTTTTAACAAATATATACTTTGAAAGGAAGTATGATCAATTAAATACGCTTAAAATACTTAAAATATGTACTGATGTCTAGATGAATTAAATTGTAATACCTTGTTCACATCTAAGTGTCTAAATAGTGCATAAACTTTCTTAGAGGTCAGAAAATAGATATTTTAAAAATATGATTGTATAATGACTTCGATACAATATAGTTTTAAGACTGCACTAATGAATTTTTAAACTTTAACACAATAAAATGATAGTTATTTGTTGAACAAATACAATTTTAATACCTCTTGTAATATCGTATTTAACAAATATGAGGTGGTTGAAACTCCTGTAATTAAAAAAATAGAGACTTTGAATTCTACATACAATTACTTTGCCTATAGGCTATAGATGGTTTGTAGTAAATTGCATTTTATAAACAAATCAACTAAATATAAATAAACATTTGAAAATAATTGTATATAATTTATAATGTTCATTGAAATAATATATTAAGTAAATTGCTTTAAGATACACAATTTTTTTCAAAAAGTGGTACGTTTGTGGTAAAACATTTTTTAGGATAATTTGAAGCCATTATGATTATAAAACAACATTTTTGAAAAGAATTTAAATTTATAAAAGTTGAATTTTAAACTAGTAGTTAATTCGTTATAACTCAATTAAAAGTATTTAAGTTTTCATGAACTGAGTGGAGTGTCCAAGAGTAAACCGAAAAATGTTGCCCACTATGACACTACTCATCTAAAATTTAAATCCTTATAAATTATAATTAATTAACGGCTTGTTCGAAATTCGAGATTTTTGCTTTAAAATACTCAACAATTCAGTCATTCAACTTTGGAATATGAAATTAAAAATGTATCATTTTATTAAAAAAAAACAGAAAAATAAAAATTGTTTACAAAAAAAAATTAAAAAATCTATAATTTTTTTCCACTTAAGTTTTGTAATCAATTATTTCAATTTATCAAAGAAAAAAATATAGAACCTTAAAACTTTTCTATAAAATGTAGATACATTTAAAAGAATAATCATATATAATATTATAACTTATTAGAGGATTATAAACATTATGATACTTATAAAATCCAGTGATACTACATCTTGGGTTAACCGTGGCACCTTGAATCTTTACTTAAAACTGTGAAGCTATACTATAAAATAGTTTTTATATTTTATTTTAATTTAATATTAATTTTTTTATTCGTAAATAAATACGCATATTAATCTTTTAAAAATGATGGAAAAATTAGACTTAAAATACAAAATAATTATTGTATATAATTGGGAATTATAAGTTTATTACCAGTTTAATACTGTCAATTTAATATTTTTCACAACTTAAGAAAGGGTGCAGCGACACCCCGGTTGAAAATCACTGATACATGTAAGTAACCAACAAATTCCATAATGTAATATTGTATGTAATTCAATCAAAAATAGCTTAACATATTGTAAACGGTGAATAGTGATGAAATTTAAATAAAATAGTATCCATACAATGCTATACATACCACTTATAGCCTATAGGTTTAATTTTAATAAATGTTTAATGGTATTATTTATTTCATTAAACACTCAATGTTGGATCAAAATAATGTATTATAGCTTTAGCATGGACATTTTATTTTCAGTTAAATACAAATTATATTTATCTTTCAGTAAAAGTTTAAACTCAAAGTTATGGGCAATTAATTCCGAAATACTCCACTGAGCACTTAAAGTTTACGAAGTGATGACTGGTTGTTTTAGATATTCTGTATAAAGTTTTTTTTAAGTGATAGTGAATGAATACTGCATCATAAGTGACGCAGCAATTTCTATAGATGTAAAATGGATACTACTCCTTTATACAAAATATAGGGTAGGATCGGTATTCACTTTTGCGAGTATAATTTACTCTCAGGTACCCAGGATGATCCATTTCCCTTATAGAGGTACACAAATTTCAATCCTACCTTTGTATTACTGGGTTTGATGTCTGGATTTGATAGCAGCATCAATCAATGTGTTACGATCGGGTAGCGTACGAATATGTTAACAGAAAACATAAAAAAAGAGAAAGAAAAAATCTATATAGGTATATACATCTAGATTTACGATTGTAGGAATACGTAGTATACGGGTTATATAACCGAAAGTATGAGAATTTTAGTTTGAAAATTCTCACAAAAGCCTGTCAGCTGCCCAGGGAGTTTTACGATTTCATCTAGTCTGCAGTATACGATTTTATTTTTCATTATTATTTTACTAGCTTTTCCTATAATATAACACGACCAAACGAGGATTTTACAGTTTTTAGCCCCTCGTCACGTCCACCGTTACTCGAAGTCAATTAATATTACGCATATATTATACCCAGAAGAATACATATTATAGGTAAGTTTAAATTTAAAATGAAAAAACTAGTCATTTTGAAAATATCTGATTCATTTCAAATAAAAAATAATAATAAAAGAACTGAAAACTGATTTTCCCCTTGAAACATTTTTAAATTAAGTAGTTATTTAAAAAATGATTTCAAGTACCTACTCGAGGTACTTGACAATAAATTATAGTACTATGCTTTTACTGCATATAAAACAATTAAATCGATAGTAACCATAATTTGTGTTAAGTTATGCAAACAGGTACATCCTTGAACAGGCATAATACTATAATATAATAATATTATAATATGTAGTATAAGAAACGTCAGGTAAATGGATAATTTTTCTAATTATACTTTATATATACAAATCTCATATTGTTATCCAAATTAATATTACCTAGTAATATTTTTACACATTTAAACAATACTATTGGAATCGAAATTATTGTATACTTACCTTCA